CAACCCACCTAATCTGTGAACAAGCCTTCCTCCAGATGAGGGGTGCCCCACTTGGCATCTGTTTTGCCTTCTCAGTGATCTGAGAAGTTTTGGATGTTTGGGTCCAGAGTGTCATATCTAGGGGCGACAATCTCACAATTCAAATTTGTCATCCTCCCTGCAAAGGCAGGTGAGTTTGTACGCTGCTATTCAGCAACTTCTCTCCCAGGGGGTTTCCTATTCATAGAATGATTGATTTTCAGGGGTTTTATTCAAACGTGTTCACTATTTCCAAGGCAAACTGAGTAATTCACCCCATTCTGGATCTCAAGACACTTAACTTTTTTCTGCAAATCCAGAAGTTCTGCCTGAAATCTGCCAGGTTAGTTGTTGCTTTTCTCCTATCAGGGAACTTTCTATCCTCTGTTGCCACTTACTTACATTCTCCCACATCATCAATGCTACTTGCATTTTGCTGTGAGAACTCAATATTACCAATTTGGTTCTCTTCTAATTGGCCTGTCCACAGCACCTCGGGTCTTCACCAAAGTGCCCATCCAAGTCCTAGCTCTGCTTTGCTCTCAAGGTATTCATGATTTGGATATCTGGATGATCTCCAGTTAAAGGACAAGTCCGCCCAGACCCTGTCAGTCAATTTCCAATAGAAAGAGCAGGCGCTGCAGGGATGTACTGTAGATGGATCTTTAATTTCCAGAAGTCATCGCTGAACCCTACTCGCTGCTTGGAACTGCTGAGTCTGATATTGTATATGGTCTGTCCAAAATCCTTCTGCCCCAGGACAAATTCTTGTCCCTCTGCTCACATGCTCGGACTCTTCGGTTCAAGAGCCTTCCCTTAACTTATTATTGCATGAGGGCTCTAGGTCTGTTGGTGGTCCCCTGAGTGTGACAAACTCAGTCTCTTGACTGCCCCATGCATCTGACCAGCTAGGCCAGACTCTACCTGATGTGGTAGATATCCAATCAGTCACTGGAGTCCGAAAAAAGTTTTCTTCCAATGATATGGAAACTTCTCATGACAGATGATAGCTTATCAGGTTAGGGATTCCTGCATACAGTCTAGGTACAGGGGTTTGGTTGTATGAGAGAAAGCTTGGCTTCCCATCAGAATCTGGGAACTTAGTGATTTAATTGTCCCTATCTCACAGTACCTTTTAATATTGTGGTCACATGTCCAGAATCCAGTAAGACAATATCACAGCAATGGCCTACGTCAACCAAAATGGAAGCACCAGAAGCCGAGCTGGCTGAATAGAAGGTGTTCTGATTATGGTTCGGGCAGAACTATACACAATTCACATTCAAAGTATGGAGAATTGGCAGGTGGGTTTTCTCAGTCATCAGCATCTTGCTCCATGGGAATGGTTTCCCCTCCTGAAGGTGTTTCCAACCTTTTGCCACAAATAGGGGATGCTGGCTGAAGATCTTCTCGTGTCCTGGTTCAACAACAAACTGAATACATTTTGTTGCCAGATCTTCCAGCCTTCCCACCGGATGTTCTGGTGACTTTGTTGGATCTATTCAGCCTGGTCTACACCTTTCCTCCTCCTTTCTGCCTCTGCAGCTTCTCCCTCAACTGCTGCGCAGGATGAAAATAGAGGGAATTCCGGTGCTCCTCAATACACCAACTGGTCCAGGAGGGCATAGTAATGGGAAATTCTACAACTATTCTGCTTCTCAGTCTATTATACAGGGCCTAGACTTTAAAAGCCACATTGTTAGATTGAAGCCTGTCAGAATCCGTCAACCTTATGCTCCTGAAAGCTAGAAAGTCAACTTTTGCAGTCGAATATTGTACCTGGAAGGCCTATGTTGTGTGGTATGAGGCCAGGAAACTGTCCTTCTTCCAGTCTGGTTTGTATCAGCATCCTTTATTCAAGGACTGCTTCAACCCTTGATAAGGACTTTTATTGCAGGATGTTTCTCACATTGCCCTCCCAAAACTCCCTACCCACCCTTAGGACACCCCCAAAACCAAGGCTGGAGGAGTTATATAGGGGATGTCACTGCAGCTCTTTTTTGCCGTTGTTATATACAGCTACCTTCAGGTAACTGGACATTGGTTAAGACTAGAGATGAGCGAATTGAACCAGGCGAACCGGAATTCGATACGAATTTAAGGAAAAATTCGATTCGCGTCAAATCCGAATATTTGCCTACTTCGGGTGCGCGAATCGGATTTTTCCCGATCGCTCTGCAAGATACACTTAGAGGAGCTCTGCAGATACACTTTTTGCCGGCTTGGAATTATCTTATTTTCATCCTACTTCTTCATCCTCATCCTCAGAAGAAGAAGAAGAGGATGAGATGAAGAAGAAGAGAAGAAGTAGGATGAAAATAAGAAGAATTCCAAGACGGCAAACAAAAAAAGTGTATCTGCAGAGTCCTCTATTCTGCAGATACACTTAGAGGAGCTCTGCAGATACACTTAGAGGAGCTCTGCAGATACACTTTTTGCCGGCTTGGAATTAAATCTTATTTTCATCCTACTTCTTCTTCTTCTCTTCATCCTCATCCTCAGAAGAAGAAGAGGATGAGGATGAAGAAGAAGTAGGATGAAAATAAGAATAATTCCAAGCCGGCAAAAAGTGTATCTGCAGAGCTCCTCTAAGTGTATCTGCAGAGCTCCGCTATTTCTGACAGTTCTGTGACATTCACTCCTTACAGCGGTTGTGAAACATTGTATCTTATTTGTTTCCATGAATGGATCCTTTTATGGAAACAAATAGATACAATGTTCATACAGCTGTCAACCGCTGTATGGAGTTGGAGGTATGGGTCGGGGTCTGTCCAGAATGTCTGTCAGGGGGGTATTAAGCTGGTGTTGGTGGGTATGTCATCTGTACTGTTCGGGCAGGTTAGTGGTCTGTTTAGGGATATTGTTCGGGACTGAAGGGAGAAGGAGGAGATGAAGGAGAGGATAGACAAGGAGGGCTGAAGGAGGAAGGGAAGGAGGAGATGAAGGAGGAGTATGAAGGAGGGAGATGAAGGAGTGAAGGAGAAGTGGAGGAGATGGAGCAGGAGGATATGGAGAAGGAGGCATGACGCGAGATGGAGGAGAAGGATAACGGAGGGATGTGAAGGAGGGAGGAATGCAGGAGAAGGAGGGAGACAGGAGAAGGCGCAGCATGAAGGGCAACGGAGGAGTGAAGGGAGAGACTGTGAAGGAGGAGAATGAAGGAGAAGGCTTGAAGGAGGAGATGAAGGCGAATCCTTTGAAGGAGAAGGAGGAGCATCTTCTTCTCAGGACCGGAGGAGATCCTTCTTCATCCTTCTCCTTAAGGAGGAGATTCTCAGGATCCTTGAGGAGATTGGAGATCATCCTTCTTCTCTTCTTCTTCTCATCTTCTTCTCATCCTTCTCCTTCTTCATCATCCTTCTCTCTTCTTCTTCTCATTCTCCTTCTTCTCATCCTTCTTCTCATCCTTCTCCTTCTTCTCATCCTCTCTTCTTCATCATTCTCCATCTTCTCATCCATCTCCTTCTTATTCAGCCTTCTCCTTCTTTCTCATCTATCTCTTCTTCTCATCCTTCTCCTTATCATTCTTCTCATCCTTTCCTTCTTCTCATCCTTTTCTCATCCTTTCTCCTTCTTCTCATCCTTCTTCTCATCATTTCTCTTCTCTCTCATCCTTCTTCTCATCCTTTCCTTCTCATCCTTTTCTCATCTTCCTTATTCTATCCTTCTTTTCCTTCATCCTTCTCCTTCTTCTCATCCTTCTCTCATTCCTTCTTCTCATCCTTCTCTTCTTCTCATCTTCTCATCCTTCTTCTCATCCTTCTCCTTCTTCTCATCCTTCTTCTCTCCTCCTTCTTTCTTCCTTTGTCATCCTTCTCCTTCTTCCTATCCTTCTTTATCCTTCTGTCTCATCCTTATCCTTCTTCCTTCTTTCTATCATTATCCTTCTCATCCTTTATCCTTCTTCTCTTCTTTCTCATCTTCTCCTTCTTCTCTCTTCTCTCATCCTTCTCCTTTCCTTCTTCTCATCCTTCTCCTTCTTTCTCATCCTTATCTTCTCATCCTTCTCACTTGTCTCATTCTCTCATCCTTCTCCTTTCTCGCCTCTTCTCATCCTTCTCCTTCCTTCTCTATCCTTCTCCTTCTCCTTCTCCTTTCTTTCATCCTTATCCTTCTCTTCTCATCCTTCTTCCTTCTCATCTTCTCCTTCTTCTCATCCTTCTCCTTCTTTTCTCATCCTTCCTCCTTTTCTCATCCTTCTTCTCATCCTTCGCCTTCATCCTTCATCCTTTTCCTTCTTCTCATCCTTCTCCTTTCTCCGTCTTCCTCATCCTTCTTCTTCTTCTATCCTCATCCTTCTCCTTCTTCTCATCCTTTCCTTCTTCTCATCTTCTCCTTCTTCCTTCCTCATCTCCAAGGGCATTTAAATTAAAGGTACAGTGTTCTGCACTAATTTAAAGGCTCTCTGAAGCCTAGAAACCCTTTTTATTAAGTTAACTTCGTAGCGACATTAATTCGCATCGAATCGAATTTCTTCCTGAAATTCGGCGAATCAGCCGAATCGAAATTTTGAATAATTCGCTCATCTCTAGTTAAGACTACAGATTCTGTATTCTGTACTGTACTTCAAGAAAAGGATTTTACAGGTAAGTCAAAAAAATACTATTATTTCTCTCAGCACCGGTTTGCCTTTACAAGGAACTGACCTCACCAAGTCTCAATTACATTTAATTTTTTTCTCTGACTTCCGACACACGGTCTTTTATAAAGAGTTTTTGAACAGATAACAGACTTTTTTTAAAACTTTTTTTTCTGACCTCCAGATTAATTGGTTTTCAATGCATTCATATGGAAAACCGCGTTTCAGTTTACGAATTTTTCACAATACGAAAAGTCCCGCAGACGCATTAAATTTGTAAACCGAGGTACGCCTGTATTTCTGTATATAGCAATACTATGCTTATTCATTAGACCAGTTTTCTGTGTTTTATATATATGAATATTCTTTAACGTGTTTATTAAACGTATCCTTATTTTTTCAGGGGTACGGGATGGCACACACCATCAACAAGTGGTCAGAGCTGGGCTGGGCTGGTCACTGGCTGACTTTCGGGTCCTGGGTGTTTTATCGGCTACTTGGCTGAGGGGAGGACACTGCCATCGCTCGCTGTGTGATATTCACCAGTGAAAACCACCTCATGGGTGTGACCAACTTCTGCCATACAGTATTGCAGAGCAAGCAAGGTAGCTGAGCAGAGCTGGCGCACAGGGGAAGTTTATGACTGGGTGGTAAGTGAACAGGGTTTGAACGCTGGGACCATACTGAGGACAGCCTGTGTGCGCCATTGACTGCCAACGGACTAACAGCACCATTATTATATATATATATATATATATACTCATTCTGCCTCCTGTGATAGCAACAGTTAGCTGTCCATCAATAGGGGTGTCTGGAAATATCGTGACCTCTCTCTTACTTTCTGTGGTTCTGCCAATAAAGTTGTTTTTGTACAGATTGTGTTCAATATATATGAAAATAATTCATATACACTAGTGAACTTTTGTTTCATTTTAAGGAAGCCTGAAAGCAATCAATTAAACATATAAATCAGGGCTCAAAATTTAAAGTTCTGAGCTACTAGCCAGGACTTAATAGTTACTCGCCACCAGTTGCCCCTAATTCCACCCCTAAACACGCCCTTGTAAATTATCTCATGAAATGGCGCTGTTAAATGTTTTATGCAGAATAAAAGAAGGGAATGGAGGAAGGAAGGAAGGGGAAAGAGAGGGAGAGAAGGATGGAAGGAAGAGAGGGTAGGAAAGAAGGAAGGGAAGGGTGGAAGGAGGAAAGGAAGGGAGGGAGAAAAAGAAGGTAAGGGGGGGGGAAAGGGAGGGAGGGGTGGGAGGAAGGAAGTTCGGACTCACATGTATGGCCCACAGCTCACATGCTCAGTCAGAAGCATCACAGAGCTACCGGCTGCTCTGTATACAAATTCCCGCCCACACATCCTCTTCTGCATGGCACAGACTGGAGTGTGGTCAGGCACAGAGGGAAGCAGAGCAGATCCAGTCTCTCTCCTATTGGTGCAGAAAATGGGGGGAGGGGCTGCGTACCGAAGAGCACATGGGGGGGCAGAAAGAAATTGAAGGATTGGGGATGATCAGTGCAGATGTTGGGGCAGTTACAAGCACCGATTTCCCTGTAGGGCTTTCAGTGAAACAGCTGGAAGCCACGTCTCCTCTCCCTCCTGTGCGGGCGAGTAGGTAACCCTATTATTATATATTAATACATAGACTATTTATTAAAGTTGTTAAAGCCTTGCTTGTACATATAGTTCGTGATTATATTTGTACATATTTCCCTGTTACAGATGCAGGCTGTGCACCCTATTAGTCCTGCACAGAGATTGTATTGTACTGCTGCTTTCTCAGGTCAAGTCGGTGGGTCATATCAGACCCATAAGAATTTGAAGTACATCATAAAACATCTCAGTGGCTTATCCTTAAATTAATTTTTTTTTTTCAGCAAATTTGGACATTGTAATTAGGAGACAAAGCTTTTTACTGCTGCCTGAACTATAAAGTGTATCAAAACATTTTAGATAAAGTAGAGAGTGGTCCTCTTTCAATCCATTCAAACTCCCAAAAAATTCTGGCGCCAAAACTTTTGTATCAAAGACACCAATAGGTAATTCATAACGTACCAATACAGACCGTTCTGAAAGTGAAAATAATAAAATGCACACCCTCTCATTCACTTTCTGCTAAACAGGTTTTTCTCCCATACCCAGGATTCCTAACATTTTGAAGTGAGTATCAAGATCACAATCTGAATCAATACAATACAATTTTGTTTCCTTTTTCATATGACTTTATCTAAATACTTAAAGTGACACTACAACGACAGAAGTACAGGGGCTGCCATTGCTTTCCTCTTTATAATATTTACATGTCTGGTGGCAATAGCTTTTGTCTATATAGGTGTCAGAATTCATTATCTCATTTCTTGTTCCAGGTCAGTGATTTAGGACAGATGGAAGCCAATGCATCAACTTGACAGCTAGGCATCTAGCACTTTCAGAAGGAATGGTCAGCAGTGACAGCCCCATGATTCTCTCATAACCTGTTTCCTGTTACATACCAGCAGCACTGTGATACTCAATTCTGTACACTTTCAAGATTGATAGTTAATAATAGAGGTAATAATGAATGTCACAGAAATGCCACTGGATAGTTCTAGAGCATGTAGGAATAAAAAGATCAACACAAAAACATTGCAAAATATTGTTTATTCCAAGACCCAAGCAATGTCACAAACAAACAGGAAACTTGGGCACGTAGCTTGCCATCAGTCAGATTCACTCACTCTTGTTTATCTTCGCTCACATTCTCAGAGCCCCCTTGAAGACCGTACCAACAAGAAGGGCCTGACTGGAAGCGTTTGTCTGTGCCAAGACATTAAAGTTTTGGCAGGCTGAATGTGGTCTGTGGACGTATGACGGACCCCGCGCTTCCTGCGGCATGAACCCAGCAGAGTCTCCAGTGCCATCCGGATAAAGGCCTGGAAATTACTGCTTCGCTCGCGTCGGCTGTCCTGGAGGGAGGGAGGGTCAGAAAATAATTGGATATAATAATGTGTGAACAATAAAAAAAAATAAATAATTCCGTTGGGTGGACTGAGCCTTTAACCACATAAAATAGCTTGCATTATCCAGCTGAGGAGAAATATTACCTGTCCAGCCAAGATGCAGTTAAATCATGTTGCAAAGTGACAAGATTGCCGATAAGATAATTAATTCCCTATGCAATATACAAACATTCAGCATTATCATCTATTATTACAGAAAACCTATTTTAGGAAAAACAGGAGTTTTGCCATTACTGTTCTCTCCATCTGACAGTGCCCGTGCCTTGCTGTCATTCTGACCGTCTCACTTCATAACTTTTAAGTCACTGACCTGAAATAAGCATGCAAATGAGAACTGATTTTCTTGATCTGAATACAGAAGTTACTGAAAAAAAGGCAGTTGCCAAAGTACATTTATTACTTGCCAGTACTGACTCCTGTGAATTCAAAAACTTCACTTTCTCATTTAGATTTACACCCACCACCTGACACTTCTTAGTTGCACTGAATGTTTGCATCTGTCTGTTGGATGCTATCGGGGTGGAGGGGATGGATCATTTTAGAGATGTACCGGAGGAAGGATCCTCGAAGTGTTGGATGGGGAAAATCTCAGCAATGGGTATATCTCTCCAAGAGGGAGCTAAGATTGGGTCTGCTGGATTCAGTACTGCTAAATATTATCAATGTACAGACTGCCTTTTTCCAAATTTTATTTTAATCTGAATCCAGGAACCCACTCTTGTCCAGAAGCTATGCTGTGTGTCTCTGGAGGCATACCACTGATCAAGCGTCACTGAGAAGAAAGGAAATTTAGGACATTTTCCAGATTGTGTATCTTTTTTACTTATCGTGCTTGATTACCTCTTTGCTTCTTAACATGTGTTTTTTTCTCTTGCACTTGGTGCTTGTGTTGTTGGGGATTCTAAGGAGAAAAGAGAGAGAATAATGCAGGAGACTCTGGTAGAGATGAGAGGTGCAGAGTTGAGGAGGATATTTTGGTAGAGGTGAAAGGTGCAGGGTTATGGAGGAGATTCTAGTAAATATTAAATGCATAGAGTTATGGATGAGATTCTAGCAGAGATGACAAGTGGAGAGTTATAGAGAAGAATATGGCCGAGATGAGAGCTGAAAAGTTATGTAGGAGATTCTGGTAGAGATGAAAGGTTGAGGGTTATGGAGTGGATTCTGGTAGAGATGAGAATTATGGAAGAGATTTTGGTAGAGAGGAAAGCTGGAGAGTTAAGGAAGAGGTTCTGTTAGAGAAGATCGATAGAAAGCTGCGGAAGATATTCTGATAGAGCAGAGTCAGAATGGATATTCTGAAAGAAGGAAGATAGATATATTCCAGAAGATAAAAAGGAGAATTGGGGAAGAGATCCCAGGAACAATTAGATATACAAAGTCTGGTAGGATACAATGAAGAGGGCTCAAAGATGGAGGAAGGAGATTATGAGAAGACAGGGATAGAGGAGCCAGTAAGCAACTAACAAGAGAGTACAGACATGGATATTTTGGAGAAACATAAAAACAAACAATGAAAAAAGGCTGAAGTGAAAGGAATGCTCGAGTTTCGGAAAGATTGGAATAGAGAAGGAGAGCAGAGGTATAGGAAAAACGATTACAGAGGATGAAGGACATTGTTAGCTAATTAAAATGTTATTAAAGGCAGGTTAAAAACATGGTGAATTAAATGCCACAAAGAAAATATTAGAGTCTCTCACTCACCCTGTACAGTTTGTTTGACTTGTCACCTGTGAGAGTAAAAAAACAAGGAAAATTGTAGGCTAGGGAACTCAGATGAAATGGCCATAATTTGGCTGATTATTAAAGCGACACTAAGTGATAACCTTAATCTTTAAAAATAATCCATATACATCCATTACTTCATTGCCCTGTAATCTATTTTTCCATTAAATTATTTCTTACTGTGTTTTTCTGCCTCCTTGTAACATCCTCCACGAGCTAGTAAACCTCTACTTTTACCCTCACTTCTGTTTGCATGGAACGAGCATTGCACCTTCGTTGCAGTCATGTGCACTGCTCTATGCACACTACAAATCCTATAGTCCATCTCGCAGCAGGCAAGAGAGAGTGGCTATATTCCCACATACAGTGTGACCATGGAGAATGAACATAGCCACCCTCTAACAGGAAGTTGAATTGTGGCAACAACAAAAAAAAAATAACTTGGAGGAGGCTGAGAGCAATAGAAGGTAATTTTTGAGATACGAATACATCATACTTTTTTTTTTTTTTTTAAACAGTTGCGAAGAATACATACTTTAATAGAAATTGTGTTTTTAACCTGAGTTTAGTGTCACTTCAAGATTTTTGGGACCAAATCTTCCCAAACTCTTCCAATAATATAACAATGTATGGAATAATAGCATGTTTGAATACTAAAGCGATAGGAAGTCTAAAAACTTTTAAAAGCTATGTCTGTGTATGCATACATTACATGACTTATGCACAGTATTTCAGCTCAGTATAATGGACTTTCATGAAATTTATGGCCTA